GGGGGGGGGGCGGGAAGCAAAAGAGGTTGAGACAACACATAGGCTGAAGGGCACGGGGGAGGAGGGAGGGCACACAACACACAATCACATAAGGCAGGGAAACGACAATACCCTATGGACAAGACAGTACGAAAACCAAAAAACTGAACAAAAGAAAAACTGCTGATGATAGATTGTCTCGTCGGAGTTGCACCGACTCATCGGGAGGCTGAACACTCGACAATCTGGGGAATGCTCATATTTATGTTTTGGGTCATGAACCCTTCGACGCTTGTTGAAGGCAGACTATCCAAAAATGGAACATAGCAGCGAGCAGCAACTCAGCGAAGCACCAGGCAACACTGTCGAGGCAACAGAACTGTGAAATGCCAAAAGCAACTGCATGAACAACACGGCACGCAGACGAGCAGCACGGCAACAGCACAGCGAAGCACAAGGCAACAGCAACACCGTGGCCACAGTACACGGCACGCAAGCAAGGAACATGGAAGGCAAAGCATGTGCCACTGGATGGGCAGAAAGGCCGCAGTGCAGTGAGGCACAGAGCAAGACTAACACTGCAGTCACACCATACAGTGAACACAGCAGCTTGCAAAGAACGACATGCGACACAAGCGGGACATGCAGCAAGGCAGCGGTGGATCGCAGACATGGCAGTCTACACATGCAACACGGAGCAAAGCGGCACATCACCTACTCCCATTACGAGTGGACCCCACAGACTGTTGGTTCCCACCACCCGCTGAGCCAGGGAGTCACTCCTACGGACATCTAGCATCACCCGCAGACCATATGCACCGCACAGACATCACGAACAGAGCGGCTCCCCAACGAGTCCTGCAGGCACTCCAAACCACCAACGACCATTGGCAACTATTTAGCACAAAGGTGCTTACAAAGACATACACAAAGCACTTAGAAAAAGTCGAGAACGAGGAAATACGTACAGACATAGTACATAAAACTGATTGTGTGTGTGTGACTGTGTGTGTGACTGTGTGTGTGTGTGTGTGTGTGTGTGTGTGTGCTGTCTCTTATACACATCTAGATGTGTATAAGAGACAGGAATGAGAGGGCGGCATCTCAGAAACAGGTTGGCTAAGAGGATTCTCCCACATTGATCCAAAAAGGGGCAACATCCTTCTAGAAAGAATAGAATTATTTGACAGATCCGAGCTCCAGATCTGAGAGGAAGAGTGTTGNAGAGAGAGAGAGAGAGAGAGAGAGAGAGAGAGAGAGAGAGAGAGAGAGAGAGAGAGAGAGAGAGAGAGAGAGCATTGTCATGAGTTGTGATGCTACAAATCACTTAATGTCTAACGTTATCCTCTTCTCATGTTTGTCATGTCTGCCTGTTTGCTGGTTTCAGTGAGGTGAAAATTATCATATCACCTAGTAAGTACATGTGCCTGGATGACTAACAAACAGGGGGACCTGCACTGTTTGTGAGCAAACAACTTTTTCATGCATACTCCAGAATTTGGGTCTACAGTGCATAGCCATGCATTGAAGCTCTAGTTACTTGTGGTAGCTCAGCCGCATTCAGTTGGGAAGACAACACCCGCCTTCCCCTCGCAAGAACAGCCACCTACTCCTTCCTCTCTCCCCCCATACAATTACATACTCCCACCCATCACCCGTGGCATTGTGCTCCCTGCTCCACACTCTAGACTCGTTTATGCTGGGGGTTGTCTAAGGGTGATTACTGCTCACGCAAAAGCCTATAAACTGCTGTGTGCCGAAACATTACAAAAGCTCATAGTGCAGTTTGACTGTTGCTCTTCATCCTCGTCTGGACCATTTTTCCCGACATGTTGACTGATCTTCGTTCACTCTGGTTTATTGGGTGTGAATTTTCGTCTGACAGGCGTATACTATCTTGGTTTTGCGGCACATTCATCCGCTCATCTATTGTCTAAGACGTGGGGCTAGGCTCCCCTTGGGTTTAGACCTGAGGGCCATCATCAGGAATTGTCTGAGACCTGGGGGACTAGGCTTTCAGTTCTTGGGCCCCTTGGATTAGACTTTCAGTTGTTGACGAGTTCTGTCACAAACTCCAAAGGGAACGCGTTCAGTGTCGTTCACCTGACAAGACCTGAGCGCCAAGCGGTCCCCTCATGGTTTATGAAGAGGGAAGGGAGAGCTGGGGGCAGAGGGGTTGGAATGGAGACAGCGTGAGGTAAAAGCCGATGGTGTTATACGTAGATCGCAGCAAACGAGCTGTAAGTTTCAGCGACCAAGGAAGCAGCAGCGATTCGGAACTGGTGTTCGAAGCTTCCGTCTTCACCCAAAAAGAATGTATGGTCCTTCTCACTCTATATACTGGACTGGAAGGTGCTCCCCCCCAAAATACAGCTGTAAAGACCGTATGTTCTATTTGGCGGAAGAGGGTAGGAAATACTTTCAGCTTTTCGCAACTGTGTTTGGATATGTCACAGCGTGCGCATATCGTACGTACTTGCCGGCCTCCGTTCCAAAACGTTATCACGTCAGTGTGGCGGAAGTACGTTCAAATCCTTCAGTAATGTCTCATTGAAATTTTGGTTTCTTCGGGGCGTCCATTAAAATTGGAGTGATACAGAGGAGATTACCATGGCCCCTCCTCATGAAAACAAACTAGAACTGGTTTCTTACCAGTGCCGTCCGAGGTGCTGGGCGTTCAATTCTCAAGAAGAGGAGGGGGTTCACCTAACAGCCGTCATGGAAGATGGGAATCCTGACGTACTTACTGGTTATCACTGTTGGCGACAGAATGAACGAGGGAGTCGGCGGCACAAGAAAGGCTTCTGATGCAGAGGAGGAAGCATTTTGCAAGAAGTTCCGACGGAGTTCGTTTGCCTTCTAAGCATCAGTCACAGTTTTTGCAGTTGCCAAAACCCCAGTGTAATCGATCAACCGATCTGTGACACACAGCATTGACTACCGATAACGAGCAAAGAACGACTACCAACAATTATGTGAAACTCTCTCAGGGCTGTTAACGCTGGTCGCCATGCAACAGGAAGTGCAATTGACAGGCATATTTCATCAACCAGGGGGTTATGACTGCTCGTGTAACCGTACGTCTCCATGCCAAACTATATTTAGTTGATTCCATTGGTCAAAGTCTTGTTGTCATTATAACAGTAGATTATCCAGAACAGTCATTGAAGCATTGTCACTTTTTGACAATGCTGTGACAGTCTCAAGAGATACGGGCTGGCACGTAGAGAAAATTGCGGTAGTAGGAGGCGGTGAAGGGGAGGACGAGAGCAAGCGAGGGAGAGAAGAAACATACACATGAGCAGAGAGAGAGAGAGAGAGAGAGAGAGAGAGAGAGAGAGAGAGAGAGAGAGAGAGAGAGAGAGAGAGAGAGAGAGAGAGAGAGAACTTCAAGCAGGCAGAGACAGACTTAGAGAAAATAGGGAGATAGACAGACAGACAACTAATTTTGCACCCAGACGAACACCTGCCCAAAGACTTCCGACAATGGCGAGTGAAGTTGTTCAATATCACGGTTGAATAACTTGAATTCGCCTGGCTCTGTTCGCTCCCTCGGTGGATCCTGGGTTTCCTGTTCTTGCATGCGCAATTCAATCATCATCCTTGGGATTTGGGTGTCATTCCTGCTGATGGCACGTTGCTGTTGCCTTTGGGGTTGCTGTAAATGGCCATGGAAAGGAGCACAACCTGCACCAGAACGATTGCGAAGTGCCCAAGGCGAGGGCGACGAAAGACAAACTTCACCAGAAGCATGGGGAACATCTCAACCTCCACCAAGTTCGGAGGGGTTACCGACATCCGCAGTCTCCGAACTGACTTCTGGGAGTGTCACGACCAACCTTCTGCGGAAAGACGAAGGCCGCTCTCGACCTCCACCAAGTTCAGACGGGTTACACACAACCACACTGTCAGGCTCTGAACTGACGTCTGCGAGCGTCACAACCAACCCTCTTCAGAAAGAGGAAGTCCGATCTCAACCTCCACCAAGTTCGGACGGTTTACGCACAACCACAGGCACTGAACCGGAGTCTGAGATTGCCACGACCGACGATGTGCAGAGCGAAGTCGTCCACCCGCAACCGAGCCCTCCCACTTTCCTGCCTGAGCCTGTCCAGACCGAAATCGTCCGCACGTTCTCGTTGCTCGAAATACGAGCTGCAACCAATGATTTCAGCCAGGAGTGTCGCTTGGTTGGCAAAGCGGGAGGCTTTGGTGAAGTATACAGAGTGCACATGATGATTGACGGAAACTCCTGTGAGGTAGCCATTAAGGTGATGAAAGGGGAGATGGATAACCACAACTATAACCAATTCCTTGCCGAGGTGCAAATGATGAGTCTGGTGAGGCATAGAAACCTGATCAAGCTCATCGGGTACTGCTTAGAGGGGGCCACATGTGCTCTTGTGTACCCATTCATCGCAGGTGGTAGCCTGTACGATCGCCTTCATGGATGCAACGACTCGGCACCGAAGGTTGGCAGCGGTGAAGCCAGCGCAAAGGGACACCTCAAGGGCAGTTTACCGAAAATCCATCAGAAAAAAAGTAGATTGTCATCGTCGTCAGCTGATTCCGCAGCAACTGTACCGGAGCCGTTGACAGTGATGGAGCGGTTAACGATTGTAAAACAGGTGTCGACGGGATTGAGCTATTTGCACCATCAGCTGGATAAGCCGATTCTGCATCGGGACATCAAGAGTCGTAACTTGCTTGTGAATGGGAAAGGGGAGGAGCTGAGGGCGTACTTGATCGACTTCGGGTTGGCTAGACCTGTTGTAGAAACAGTGGCTGATGATGGAAAAGACATGGTTGACGAGAAGTTGGCCTTTGGGACTACCATTCTAACGTTGGCAGTGTGCGGAACACCTGGCTACATGGCGCCTGAGTATGCCCAAGGCATGAAGCTGACAGCAAAGAACGATGTGTATGCGTTTGGAATCGTTCTTCTCGAGCTTGTTACGGGAAGGAAGGCGTTCACAAAAGCACAGGATGGTCATATGATCACCCTTTCGGCATGGTCCCAACAGTGGCTAGCCCACAGGAGCTTGGAATACCGACAGTTTGGCACCATGGTTGACCCAGTCCTGGTTGCCTCCAATATGTCCAAGGCTGAGTGGGACGCGCTTTACAAGCTTGCATACCTCGCACACAGATGTGTAAGTTGTATTCCGCACCACAGACCGTCCATGGAGGAAATTGCAGATGAGGTAAGGACTATCTGGAGAGACACCCTACAGGCCATGACCCCGTCCACACAACCATCTGTTGATAGTAACTGGATGTACTAGTACCAGCACTAGTTCAAGAGCAGCAGTGATTGGTAGGGCCCGTTGTAGGAGGTTAATTCCTGCACACACAGGTGGGGTGAGTGAGCTTCCATCCCTCAGTGCACGCTCTTTGGATGGCGTTCTTGCATGCACTAAAGGCCACTCACAAAAGGCATGAAGCAGGTGGCTGCTCTGCGACGGTAACATAACAGTGGCAAGACTGAAGCCTGTAACATCAGCAGCTCACCTGCTGCAGCCATTGTGTCGCACACACTGGACTGTCCCGATTGTTCTGGACCCCCAATTTCCCCAGACCCTTGCATTGCTAAACTTTCTCCATGATTTCTTTCAGTCGGTTCCATTGGTCTTATTTAACACCCCATCCAACTCCTCCTATGGACAAACATCACTGCTCACTTCCACAAGTCCGAGAAGATCTGGTCTGGTTTGGAATGATCAGAAAGCTAACAAACACTCTGGTCTATATGGACAGAAAGGTGCAGCAGAACCATTGAAGGTCTTTCAACTCCAAGGGAGGTGGTTTGGGCGGAGACAAAGACACCGATCCAGGTTGAGATTCTGCGCAAGTGGCAGAAGACAAGACACACCAATGCGTGACACCATGACTGATGACGTGGAACCGCATCAGAGAAGCATGGAAAATTTTCACAAAGGACTGCCAGTGGCTGGTAGGCGCCAAGGTAGCAGACATAGAGGATTCCCACATGCCCAGGCCCTTTCATTGCTAAACTTTCTCAATGATTTCTTTCAGTCGGTTCCACTGTTCTTCCTTAACTGGTTTCCTCGCTAAATCGTTCTCAATGCTAATTAATGAGCCCCCTCGGGCGCACCGGTAGTATTGAATGTCGTCTCATCTCCTTTCCACGAGCTCGACAAAACACATTGGAGCAACGACACCCCCTTGCTGGAGTTGGAACAGTGGATCGCCTTGAACATGACATCAAAGGTGCCACGGTATGAGCGGCGATAGCTCCTATGGGTAGAGAATGGAGAGATTCCTCCAATCGGTAGGGATGTTATCGATGGGGTAGAGCTCGGAGAGTGAGCGCAAAAGCAAGCCGAGGGTGGGCCCAGGTGCTCAGCCCTTTCCTACAAAAGGAAGGGCACTGTGCCGAAAGGAATGGACTGCAAGTTTTTTTTCCCTATTTATCTGGTATTTAGCCCGTACTGTCCTGGTCTTCTCGAGTGAGGCGACATGTTGGGTGGGGTCTTCAGAAGGGTTCAGCTGGACAACGGAGTGGCTGAGTACTGTGGGTAACTGTCATTGGTCCAGTATCCCACCTCTACAACAACCTGGGCTTTTTATAAAATAATGTTATGACCTAGACCAATTGCGAAGTACAAATTCACCAATCAGCACAATGTTCACCAACTGCAAAAGGAAATGAATGAACTTGAGAGGATGGAGAGGATAAGAAGAAGAAGAAGAAGTAGAAAAGATTGGAAAAGACAATGTACACCAGCAAGAACCAATGTCAAAGCTCTTCTTCTTCGCTCAACTCCCTTGCATCTTATCTCCCCCTCCTCTTTATAAATTCAAACAATAAATAATACAACAATGTTGGAATGAAGGTCCAGTA